ATGTAACCTGCAGCAGGAACTGGAAAATCCCCAAGTTCGTATGTGCCTACTGTTCTACCTCCTCACTCATTCTCCCCAAGCCTATACTTTTTTTCTTTCTTCTTGTTCTGTGTAGCCCCGGCTGTCCTGGAAATTTAGAGATCCACCTGTCCCTGCTTCACAAAATGCTGGGGTTACAAGCATGTATCACCACTCACAGCTAACACTGCACTTTTTCATAGCTTGACATACTGTTTGTCTCCTTCTACTAGGTAAGGTACAAGTGCCAATGACGTAGGGCCACAATTTCCTTAAACAGGATATGCACGTGTAAACACTAGATGGAGGAGACACAAACCTGGCAATCCCAGGAAGGCAAGCCAGGGTACAGTGATTCCTCTGGAGGTTCAGGCTGAATTGAGTGTTAGTGGGAATAGGGCATTTTTCAGTAGGAAATGGGGAGCTTCTACAGATCTGGTGCTGAGTCCCTGGATGCTGACAGTGCAGTCTAGCAAGACCAGCAAGGCTCAAGTGGGGGTAGCTGGCACAGCTTTCTTGTGTGTCCACAGCAGCAGAAAGGCCCAGTTGGGACAGAAAGCCCCATGTACTGTATTTGTAAAGGGTAGCCAGGGCTTCTTTAAAAGGAGGTTGTAAGAGATAGTCAGGCCAAGGGATCACAGAATGAAAAGCTAAAAGGCCTGTTCAGGGCCTGTTTCTTCACTCTTAGTGCAATATGAATGTTCCCAGTTCCTCCAGTGGTTTGGAGATGAAAAGGTATATTCACCTGTCAGTCATTCTCAGAGAAGCAGGCTGGTAAGTCTTTGGGAATATCTGCAGAAAACAGCCCACTTATCAGCCAAAGATGTAGGAACGGATTGTTTATCCCAGCTGCTCAATCCTCAGCAATTTTGGGCTCACAGGGGCTGGGGCCTTGCCACCTCAGCAACATGATGCCTGTAGCCCCATTTCAGTATGGGGATGGGAAGAGATGGGCAGGGAGTCTTGCTTGCAAGCACCATAAGGCGCCAGGGTCACAGGCAGGCAGGAAAGCACATGCCCAGTCAAATCCTGGACAGAACCATCTTTTGGTTCCCGAGCTTCTGAGGCCAACACTGGGGATTATAAGCCCAGCTGCTCAATAAACACTTGGTTGTGCTTTTTTGGCGAGTAGGTGGGGCTCTTACTACAACTTCTGGCCTGGGAGTGGAACATTTCTTGCACTTGTGACGCTGTTCCTGGGTAATAAGGGAAGCCACTGCATCTTCCCTGGGAATTTAGGACCGCCCCCCCACATCAAGTGGGGGGTGGGGTACTCACCTCCAGGCTTAAGGTGTAATGACACTCAGCAAAGTGAGGAACAAACAAGAACCACAGGCATTAAAAAGCTTAACATTAGCGTTTATTGTTATTGTATAGAGCCATGTTACACATGCTTGGTGCTTCAAACTGAGTTATGTTTTCCTGGATGCGAAGCCATCTGATGCTTGATGCGGATGCTTTAAATACTATAATATTTCTGTGTCTATGATCTATGAGCTAAGGAAAAACCAAGGACAATTTCAGAACAGTAAAGAACACTTAAAAAGATGTACATGACACACAATGCAAAGTCCTTGAGCCAGGGCCTACACAAGTTCCCAGAAAATGAAAACTCAACTTTTCCTGTCATTTGTAGGCATCAGGGTCTAACAGCTGCTGGCATTATAAGAGGCGAATCTGGTACCGATGCCCTTTCCCTCCATTATGCTATATATGTAGACACCATGTGGCCCCAGGCAGGAAGACAGACAACCTGGCACAGCCGCCCATTTCCAAAGTCATTTCTTAGGGTGTCTGAGTGGCCTTAAGTAGTATCATCAAACCTGCCACTCTATGGAATGCCAAGGAATGTGCTGCCAATTAATACACCCTTCTCCTCAATGAACTCCAGAATGCCGGCTGGGCGCACCTTGTACCAGTTTTGGAAGATGTACCCTGCCTGTAACCTGCTGCCAACATTCAGCTCCAATGCTCCATTACTGTTGTCATAAGAGAAAGACATTTGCTCACAGCTGCCACCACCTTTCCTATAAAGTCTAAACAATGTCCCAGCTGAAGGATCATTTTCCTGGCACCATACTGACCCATTAGCCAAAAATAAGATGCCAGGAAGCCTCTTAGCCACACACCTATCCTCTCCCGCCTGGTGCCACTCATCCGAAGGACTAGTACTTAAGCAATCTGAGGCAAGCAAGGCACCTGAGCACACCCTGAGAACAGCAACAAGTGGTGGGAAAAGGTCAGTACTTTGGAGACCTAACCAGTCTGGTCAATGCTGCTGGGAAGTGAGTGATTTGAAGCATGAAGTACCTTTTGTTCTGATCAGTCAAAGAGCAGGATATGAGGTGTTCGCCCAGAGTTGCAAGCAAGCACACATGCCTCAAAGTTCTGACTTAATAGCCTGAGCTGAAAACTTAGGTGGAGTGCATCTGCCAGGACCTGCTAGGCCTGGACTCTGGAAGAGGTGCTGAAGTCACACTAACACCAAGGGGTTGCAAAGCCAGATTAGGAGCCTCTTAAGCCAGAGCCAAACAACCTGGACTAGAGAAGGAGCTGGCTTCAGCGGTTAGTAGGACTGCTAGGACAAAGACTTTTAGTAGTCATGGCATCAACTGGCAACGGTGTGCTCAGCTCTGGTTCTGACTCCCAAAGTTCCCGCTCTTGCTGTAGGCTAGATGTTGAGAGAATAAAACATGAACACTGCAGACTGACAAAATCATGCCAATTCTGGAGCACAGAGGGAAGGTAGAAGCAGTCAGGTCTCTCTGCCTGTGGTGGAGAGTGGGTAATATTAGGGACAAGACTTCCTGGGTCATAGACATACACTCCAGTGTGAGTGATCTGAGGTTATACCACAGGTTGAGTCCTGCACAGTGGGAAGGTGGGTGGTGCAAAGTCAGGCCAGCACCATTATCACCCCTGGAGCACCACACACCTCACTAACAGTAGGTTCTCATTTGTGAAGACACAGCTACAGGTCTACCTAGAAACATGGGCAAGCATTGCACACACCATCCCCTCAAAGGGTCTTATATCCCCAAACTTAGCAAAAACAAGTGGCATTCAGAAGAACCTGTGCATGGAAACCAAATAGGGGGAAAAAGCCTTGGGTTTTCCTCAGCTCCTCCGGCCTGGAGTCTGGGCAAAGCACACACATCGCATAGGACCACCACGGCGTGAGCTCAGCATCTCTGTGGGAGATAAATGTCACCCTAGAGTGACAACTCTGTATACAGATATGCCCCCAACCCCACTACCAAAGAGGGGCAAATAACAAATTCAAAAATAGAAAACAACATCTTATTAGGTGTAAACTTATCCTCTGGAGTTTTTACATTACATTTGCTAAAAACATGCATTTATTTCTGCTCAGATGTAAGAAAATATGTCTATCAGTATTACTTACAAATCAGATTAATTCTCTAGACAATGGACTCACTGTTAGAACACCATTTCAAATTTTAGTAAATTACATCTATAACAAAATAATAAATTCTAACAAGCAAAATGGGTTTAAGCCAAAGCCAATGAGAAGCAGCTTTCCTCTGGCCACCGCCACTCATATTAGTTCCCTATGCTGTTGTCCTAAACCCAAACTGTAGTCAGCAAGGACCTGCATACCAAGCTGTCTTTGAACCCCCAAATGAACTCCTACTGCACACTGAGAAGACAACGCTAACAGGAAGGGTGAAGACGATGACTGTTCCACTCAGACAAAAAGGACAGAAGAGATGGACGTGGGCATCTCCCAAGGAATCAAGGCACAGAAGATGAGGCCTCACTCCATACAAAGGCCTGACTTTCAGGGTGGCTGGAAGGCCTTGTCACAGCACAGGTCTGCTCTGCTGTGTAGCCTTGGGCAAGGGTCTTAAGGAAGTGCCAGGGTCAGGCTCAAGGGTGGCACAACATTGGGTAAGGGAGGGCAATGTGGCTCTGGACTCCTACTGCAGGGCAATTGGGAAAGCTCAACCTGATGGAAGGGAGCGAAACCTGGGTGCACAGGCCTGGCAGAGGATCACATGGGGCACTTGGCTTGGAAGGGGCCCCTCCTTAGGCTTACCTCTCTCCTGACTGCCAGGCACAGCAAAGCCTGTCATCCAAGCACAGCTGGGTCTGCTGATGAGCTCAGTCCCGTCAACTACTCATTGGATAACAGATTCTGGACGAATAAAAACAAGTGTCCCAAGTTACGATTTTCATTTATAGTTCAGAAGGCACTTCAAAATTCCACAGAGCCACAGGGTCACTGTTTCTAGGTCACCAATCCTCCTGGTGAGGCCATAAGAAATCGAGCTAAGTGTTCGACCGGTTGGTCTCCCGGCCTCTTTGTGACTAAATCTGGTATTGGTTTTTGTTATTTACCTTATAGTTAAGCATTCAGCACAGAAAGACAGACAGTTAGGTTTGCATTTTGAATAAATGAGATTTTGATGTATCACGGCAGTTTATAAAATATTTAACAAGTCTGGTATTTGACTCTAAGTAAAATTCAAAAATTATATTCATACATTGAAGAGGTCACAACATGACAAGTCAAGTACTCACTGAGTACAACTTTCTAATAATCTAATCGCCTTGCCGCTCTGTCCTTAGTGTGTTTACAAGCATCAAACTGCTACTGGCACTCAATTGCTACATCTGCTAGCATCTAATAAGGACTGCACTGGATTTCCTATTGGACAAGCCAAGGAGCCACTGCCCTTGAAGGCAGTCTGAGTGATGAGAAGGAGGCCCATGCTCCCTGGTGCAATCATTGCCAGTTGGTGCCTCCCATTCCGAAAGCATCAGGCCCCATGCAAATATATCACTCCCACACGCACCAGGATATCAAGGGCAATCCTGTCGGACATGGGCCATCTGGTGTACTCTGAGGTAGTTCCTTAGCTTGGGGTGCCTACAGCCTATTCTTCCGGAATTCAGGGCATGTAGGAAATATTGTCTATGTACGGATCTCATCACAGTCACTGTCACTGAGTGCAAAATAAAGGAAACTCGAGTTGCTTTATTTAGCTTCCAATTTCTGGGAGGCTCAAGAATTATAAGTATTCTGGACAACAGAAGAAAATAAGGCTGTGCTTACAGATCTCTTTCTGCCATAATCTTTCTTTAGGATCGCTATTTTATTGTTGCCCTTTCTGTTACACGGGATGTACACATCAGGTGTTAAAAGGTACAATACATTCTACAACTGAGCACCACTTTCTGTAACTGAACAGGCAAAGAAATTACACTGAACATCAGCATCTGGCAGTATTTTTTGGAAAAAAAAAGTGACTAAAATGGGTTTAAATTGATTAACACTATTAAATCACATCTAATATTTGATACTACATGATTCAATACAGCTATACGATACAATTATACAAAATGTGTTAACATCAAAGAATACAACCAAAATTAAGATAGCAAACAAAACCTATATAACTTTTTTTGTACAGGAAAATACTTTTGAAGTATGCATGTAACTGCCCATTCTTTTAAAGAAAATCTACCGCAAGCAAAGTTATCAACCTCCAGAAAAATCACACAGCATTACTAAGCATATCCCCAAAAAGTGTACAATATGCACACTTGGAAAATACAAAATTAAAAAAATTGTAAGCAACAGGTGAGCTTCATATTTATAAGAATGTGAAAAGAAGTCCCATTTTTAGCACTGTTGTATAAAGAATTGTCTTTTGATGCGAAGTTCATGAACTGTCCTCCTGTTGGGACCACACTTTACAAAAACACCTTGTTTTTGAAACGAGATTACAGAGCAAGATAGAGCATCTTAGCAATGTCATCTTATTAAAGTATTTTTTTAAATTTTACTACTTTATCAAAACATGTCCCTTAGGTGTGTAGGATTCATTTTTAAAATTCTTCCTAGAAATAATATACAAAGGAGAGGCATATTTATTCCCAATCACACTCCTGAAGATGCTTCCCGTGGTAGAGAAGGTCTTCTCTCTTCTTTTCACTGGTTGTTTTTGGCTTTAGCGTGTGTTAAGATGTGAGATTTCAGGTTAGTTGACTGAGCAAACTTCTTATTACAACCGTCGAAGGGGCACACATAGGGCCTGTCTCCGGTATGGATTCGCACGTGCGTGCGCAAATTGAAGTCCAGTGAAAAGCGCTTCCCACAGCCTTCGAATGTGCACTGTCAAGAAAAAACCAGACATCAACACACTTGGCAACTGGGATCAGACCCTAGGGGTCAATGGCACATTGCTTGGATGGAGGAACCACTATTATTTAACTAAGCTGGTCTCCTTCCTCCCACGGAAAACCTCTGGGAATATTCTAGAACTGACAGACAGGAAGGGATCTCTGACACTACAAGCCCATGGCTAGCTCTTGTTGTGCTAAGTGCCAGTTTAAAGTTCTAGTATGTCCAAAGACATCACAGAAAGTAGAATACAATGATTAGGACACTTAATGACGCCAACTGTCACAAATCGTGTCACAGACTCATTCACTTCTATAAGCAGCACTGAGTGTCACCTGAGGCACACGTAGGCACAGCACCTCATAAGCACTCCATCAGTAATTCAACATACTATTCCCTTCCAAAACATGGGACCTTTGAATCTCTGAACACACTAGAAATTTAGTATGGGCTTACTCTCTCATAATCCCGTTTCTCTCAACAGACACCACCACCCAGTATCCAACACTCGCAGTCACACACAGTCACCAGGAACTCAGGCAGACCTTCAAGTGGCCATACCAGGAATGGAATAAGAGTCCACCAACCCCCACCTGCATAACATCACCACCCTGCCCAGCACCCTAACCTGCAGTTTGGGGAACAGGAACTGGCTCTACCTGAAAGGGCTTCTCTCCAGTATGAACCAGCTGGTGTCGTTTTAGCTTTGAGCTCTCAACGAACGCTTTGCCACATTCTGCACAGACGTGGACTCTGGGACCGTGGGTGTGCAGATGCTTTCTCATAGCAGAGTTATCCCTGAACATCTTTGTGCAGCCCTTAAAACAGAGAAAGAAGCTTAGTGGTTCACACTGCAAACTGTGAGAAAGGACTCAACCACTCAACAGCTTTTACTGATGTTTTTACAGCAAACAACCTCCCCAACCCCCCTTTAACTTTACTTAGCATTACAGAACATTAAGCTATTCGAGGCTATTTAAGACAAAAATAAATAAATAAAAAGTAAAAGAAATAAATCAGACAGCTGAGAAAAAAGCCTTATTATTTATGGCAAACCCGTGCTTTACAGATGAGGAAACTGAGGCTTAGAGATGTATCGAAGTAGACTTGCCCAAGGTCACACTATTAGCAGAAGCCAGCCAAGCTGGGAGTAGAACCCAGCACCCTGGCTTCCAGCTATACCACAGCCGCCTCACCCAACTACAGTCCCCAGATGAAGTAACAGAAGCACTGAGAAATAAACGGAGTTAAAATGACGGTAGTCCACCACTACCTTTGGTGGGCCCCGTATTCTGTGCTGCAACAATGGGCTGTCATTCTCCATCGCCTACTGTTCCCTCTTCTCTCTTTGCCTCTTTCCCCTTCTTGACAGAGAAAGAAGCAAGAGGGTCTCCAAGGAATGGCAACTACAGAAGAAATTTATTTGGTGAGACACTGGGAAAAGGAAGAGGCAGGCAAAGCGATACCAGTGCGGGGGAGGCAGATGGATGTGTGGTGCCCGAGAGCAGCATGTCCTCAACAATTTCTTCTGCAGTTGTTGCCCATGATGGAGTGAGTGGGGAAATGGTGAGACAGCATGACAGAAGGACAGCACAGGTCACCACTAGACAGCTTCACAGGCAAAAGGGAGGGGAAAGCCAGTTTTCCACCTTGACCTCTAGCTTCAGTTCCCATTTATACAGAGAAGCAAAGAGATCCCGGCACTTATGGCATAACAGTTTTCAAATGCGTCTTAATTTTGACTCCGATAAAAGCCACCATGCACCCTAAACCTCCATACTACAAGCATTTACAAGGAGTACAGAGACTTTTATGTACATGGTCTTCAGTAGTCATCTATCAAAACATACTTATTGTTCTTCAACTGCTGTTTTGGCAAATTCTTTATTCCACTAATGGTTTCTTCCCCTTAGTTTCTAAGCATTTATATCTTTTTCCCCTGTTTAAGCCCAATCAAATTTGAAAACTGACCACCACCCCCAAACACCCCAAACTGCTTTTCAGTCACTCCCTCCCCCCTTTACTTAAGACCAGAGCTGCGTTTGAAAACGGTTATGCACCTTCCTAGTAGCACAATTAACAGAGTAAAAAGAAAACTGAAAGAAATTACCAAGTTTTTATTTGGTCTATTCTAGCAATATTCAACATAATCTTCAAATTTCAGTCATGAGCATAGAGTCTCGTAAAGATTTATGGGTGAGAACAACCCACTGTCTTAAGACAGACTTGTTAACGATCCAAAACAAACAGACCTAACACATTACAGTCAATATACAGAATAAGAACACTGGCCCCTACAGCAGCCCCACTTAACATATTTAAGTGTCCTTTACTAAACAAAACAAAATTAAGTGTCTCGTGTTAATAAACCAACAATTCTAATTCCTCACTCTGTTTTAGTTACAAAAGTGAAAAATCAAAGTACATATATATTCCTTACAAACTGTCTGAAGCCTAAGCAGCAACTAACCAACACTCCCCTCGCATTACTTACTTTATGAGGGCAAGCTATTGTTCTTGGAGCATCATCTTCTTTAATTTTCCTTGGCTTCATTCTTATTGGAAAAAAAAAAAGAGAAAGAGAAAGAGAGAGAGAGAGAGAGAGACAGATTTGTAGGAGTGGGTCACACTAGACAAGCATAAATCAAATAGTCCCGAGACTGCTCCTTGTGGCACCAACACTAAGCTCATGGTGCTCCCCTTCCACAAAGGGAAAGGACCAAACTGCCCAATCTGCTGAGCCAGAAGAGCAAGAGGTGCTCTTCCGACATCCTAGGTAAGTGCTGGTATTCCAAAAGGCTGCATCGCTGTCTCTTGAGAAGCTGGTGCGGCTTAGAATGGCACCATCAGCACCATTATCGTGTGACTCCAACATCTGCTCTTCCCACCTAACCCCGTTAGCAAAAAATAAAAAAATAAAAAATAAATAAAAACTCCACACAGATCAACAACCCTGACAACTTCAGACTTATCACTTAGTCAGGGTGGGGTCATGGCAAGTTACCCTAAAACATCAGCTGCTTTTTTTGGGGGGGAGGGGTGGCGTTTCAAGACGGGGTTTTTCTTTGTAATAGCCCTGGCTGTCCTGGACCTCACTCTAGACCAGGCTGGCCTTGAATTTACCAAGATCCACCTGCCTCTGCCTCTGCCTCCTGGATGCTGGGATTAAAGGTGTGTGCACCACCAGTGCCCGGTGAGGAACTGCCCCTTACACTGTTTGTAAAGTATTCATTTTGATAGTAATAAGAGATGACAGTTTCTACAGAATTCTTAATTTTACTTTGTTTTTGAGACGGGGTTTTGACACCACAGCTATATTTTTAAATTGCTGGTTGTGGCTTGGGAGCTCTCCGTGAGAAAAGAACTTTGGTAGTAAGACAGCTGGGAGAACCCCAGGTGAGGCCACTATCTACACAGCTTGCCAACAAAGAACCTACCCATCTGCTACTTCCTCAAGCAGCCTTGGTTTTCATGAAAACTTTCTCTCCAAACATTCCCTACAAACCTACGTATGATCAAGGGACAAAAAATGAATTCATAGAAAACTAAAAAAGATTTAAAATTTAAAAACAGAGCTTTTTATCCCTAGCTCTGCCATGTTGTACTCTTCCATGAAAGTTGACATCTAAATAATAACTAAGCCAATGGTCTCTTAACACTAACAACAGTGTACCAAAGTGACTTGTAAGGTAACAGAGGCTCAGATTACTCTTTCTACTCAAACCCGGGGAGAGGGTAACTGGCCCTCCCTATACTGTCAAGCCCTGCAACCTGGTCAAACCTTCCATGCCTAGAAAAAGAGGAAGCTTCTACAGTGCCTGATGATCAATCTCAGAATATTCTTTCCAATTCCAACCCTGCAGACAAACTTTAAGTAGATTACCAGTATGCCGGTTAACAAGCCATTACTTAAGTGCCTGTTCTTAACTAGTCTTTGCTGGTCTCAAATGCTTGTCTTCACTTAAGTGCTAGGATTACATGTGTAATCTTCACCAGTCTCTGTTGCTTTAAATGCCAGTAAACCTTCAAGTTTGGGGTTCAGTTCAGAGTAGGGCAGCCTGGTGCTACTGCGCCACCTAGAGGTTAGATCAGCATGGAAGAGCAGTAACTCATGAAGATGGATCTATCTATCTATCTATCCATCCATCCATCTATCTAGTTTGAGGCAGGATTTCTTTGTGTAGCCCTGGTCACCCTGAATTTCACTCTATGGTACAGGCTGGCCTCAAACTCAGTAATTCGTCTGCCTCTGCCTCCTGACTTTCTTTCCATTCTTAATGGGGTGTTTAGAAACAGGCTCTTGGATACATCCTAGACTGGTCTTGAACCTGCTGTGTAACACAGGACTGGCCTTGACTTGTGATCTTCCTATTTTCACATGCTAAGTGCTGGTCACAGATATGTCACTATTCCCAGTGGTGTTATTTTTTCCCTTCTAAAATATCATTTTCAAAAATGCGCGCTAACATTCAGTATTAATTTTAGTATGAGAATTTACAATGCATTAGGCCAAACCCAAGACTCAGAATCAATGAAGGACTTAACCATCCATAGCAACAGAGAGGGTCTTCCCTCAGAGAAGTTCTGCTGTGCAAGTGAAGAATGAAGGCCACTCCCATCCCATCCCAGCACCTCGATGTGTTTTCTATCACTGACTGGGATACTTTACAGACCCAGACACGATGAGGACGACGACAGAATGGATGTGACTTGGAGTTGACTTCTACTAGCTTCATGACCTTGAACAAATCACTCAACTTCTCGGTCTCAATTTCTTAATCTGTAAAGCAGGCACAAGGCTCCCTACATCAGAGCTGCAAGGCATCAAAGACAACACACACTAGACCCATGGGTAGTGACAGTCACTACTATCACTGGTCATGTGGCTAGAAATAAGTTCACTCTTTTGTTCCTTTGGCTTTGGAGACAGGGTCCCAATCATATAGTCCAGATTGGTCTTAAGTCAGTCAACCTTTCGCCTCAGCCTCCTGCATGGTAGAACTATAAACACCCGCTACCGCACCCAGCAAAATGAATTCACTCTTTAAAATTATCATGTCAGTTTTGCTAAACAATCCATAATGTTCTGATATTCTGAACTATCTTTCAACCAAAAGACCAAGAGACTGAAATAAAACAGCACAAAAAGAAAGGCACCATTAATAATTTTCTACTCTAATAAAACTAGAGGGCAGCATGGCTGGTGGACTGGAGAGTGCACCATCCTGTCACACATGGAAGGAGCACCACCATGAACTCCACAGCTCACCCCTACCGCAATTTCCCAGACACAATTTTAACAGAGCACTATTTAAACCAGAGTCCCAACTAAGTTGACACACAACAAACTAGCCCCAAAGCCAGCAGGCGGGACTTAAGCTGCTAAGACAGCCTCTGCTGCCATGCAGCTATACTCTGCAAGCACCAGAATCTCATTATGAAGCACAGCGTGGCCTTGAATTTGCAATCCTCCTGCCTCCACTTTTAAAGTGCTAGAATTAAAGGAGTGCACACACCACACCTACCTTAGACTACAGGATTTCAGTGTCAGCACCTTTAAGGAAATATACAAAAAGAACTGCCTACTTAATTAGGAAACAGAACTTTCTTCACCAGGCCCTAGCTTAAATAGGCAACTCAGTGAAATATAAAGAACCCCCCCAACATGGTACCACCTCAAAATCAAGACTAAACCTTTTTTTGGCGGGGGGGGGGGGGCGCATCAGGGATTCACTATGTGCAGCCAGCCCTAGGCTCTCATGAAATCACTTTGTAGACCAGGTTGGCTTTGAAATCAGAGAGATCCACCCGCCTCTGCCCCCACGTGCTGGGATTAAAGGTGTATTCCACCACCGCCCAGCACCACCCCCCCCTTGAAAAGAGAGCATTTCATGTTGTATCCCAGGACTAGCTTCAAATTCACTATGCAGTTTCTTAGCCCTGGATAACAGATACACAACAGTCAACTTACAAACTTACATGGTAAATCTAGTGTTTCCGTCATGCAAGGCAAGCATTTCTTGAAAAAAAAAAAAACAAAAACACAAGCGATCCCACCCCTCAGCTTTAAAGACAGGACTCAAATAAATTCACTGTAAATTTTTTAACTTCCATCTGTCTGTCTACTTGTCTAGGTGGAGTGTAGCAGGTCTGAGACATTCTTTGATCAGCTCCATGTCCAGGACAGCATACCCACTCTGCCACAGAATGGAAAAGAAACAGGAACTCGCAGCCGTAACCTAAGGGCAATGTAACTCCCCCATCATAGCACAGAGGGCCAGAGGAAGGCCAGAAGAACAAGTTTCATCATAACTGGCAGAGATCATATGATGTGGCCATCCATCAACAGTGAAGCTTGGTATTCTATTGTCAGAGTCCCAGCTAAAGGCCTCCAGAAGACCCCATTCCATGACGACAATACAGTCTCCCAATGTGGAGACCTGAAAATAATACGGCATGCAGGTTCAGATATTTCTACCACCACTGCTGAATAAGTCCATGTAGGTAACATGATTTTTAAGGGATGTAATCTAAAATGGGACTGAGTATAATCCTTAGTCCACCTTGGTGCCAAACTTTTATAAATTTTTTTCATACTAGCAAAGTGAGCAAGGTAACACCCAATTCTAATACAGAACCAAAGTCCTAAGAGTTGACTGTAAAAGAAAGACTGCTGAGGGTTCGGCCGCAGTTCAGCAGCACTGCCAAGCACGGACAAGGCCCTGGGCTAAATAAAGACTTTTAACAGGGAGTGTTCCTCTTAAAACACTAAGTACTATCTTCTCATTACCTACCGCGGCCATGGCATTCATGACATTATTCTCTGTAAGTGGTCTTCTCCCTGGGCTTTAGGTCCTTTATCTTTGGTGCTTTGAGATATTGTGGGGGGAAGGGATCAAAGCAATGCCAAGAGTCACCTGTGCCTAAGCTGTACTGCTCATAACCTATAGCTTCTCTCTCTTCAAATTCTTTCCTCAGCCCTCTTTCCTGATGCTGAAGCAGTGCTGCAATGTGCAGGAGATGGATTCCTCCCTCCCCTGGTCTTCTAGGCTATTCATTGGCAGTCACGCTGCTGCACATATACATTTCAAGTGATTCTCTTCTACTCTCACTGTTTCCTTTTACTCTCCAAACATAAGGATTTCCTCAAACTTCCCTTTTTAAAACTTCCATAATGTCTCTAACCCCACTCCATTTTTGTGTCCTCACTCAATTCTAAGCATCAAGAAAGAGCTGGTTAACTTTAGGAGCACAATATTAAACTCAGGCATAGTATTTGGTTCAGTATGCCCCCAAACTATACTTCATTGCCAACTCTGAACATTATAAATTCAATCTTGATTTGTAGCTTTTAGGGGGAAGGATGCTTAATATTTGATCCCAGTAACTGTACCAGAATTACAAATGGTAACAAAATCTGGAAAGCAGTGGGCTCTGCTCCACCCTGGGCAACAGAAGATGCTGGACTATTAGCAATTCCATTTTACTTAAGATGTTACATATTTGTGGTCCCCTACCCCCACACCACCATGTCCTCATAAAAACTGCCTACAACACTAAAAACTAACTAATACAAATACCAGAGACTTCTGCAGGAACACATCCTATTTCAGGCAAACAAACAAGTATCAGTGAGTACAGATCTTGACTGCTCAGCCTGGGCAGCCATAAGTTCCAACTTAAATTAAGATAACACCAGGAGTTACACTTATTATATCTATGAACTGGTGAAATCCCTGCTGTGATCAAAGCATCCAGGATAAACCTGGACACACTGTAACACGCCTGGACCAATAGAAACATAGAGGTGATGTGCACACCCATATCAAAACAAATCATGCCAACTTCCTTAACTTCACAGCAACACCAGTTGTGGAACCAAAGAGTATGTGCCTCATCTCATATTCTGCAAAGATCTAGAATGCTGTCCTTCACACATTAACAGCATCAGTTATTATCAAAACCAAGAGTGGCTGTTTTGTTTTCAGAAGTGTCCCTCCAGAAAGAATATAAACCATCACTGTCACTTGGAAACAAAGAATACAGCTGGCAAGATTCACACTTCCTATAACAGAAAAAAAAGTAAAGTTCTTGTAACTTACCTAGCAAATTCTGCCAGTTGCTTAGGGTCTGAGAGGTCAATGCCAGGTATCCCTCCAGGAGGGAGTTTCTTGCCTGTCATATATTCAGAATAATCAGGAGGTGAGTTCTCGCCAATGATCTGTTCTTCAACCACCGTTTCATGGTCAATATCTTTTTTTTCATCTGAAACACATGAGATTGATCATCTTAACTAGAAAAATACACTGAATATAAAAATAGCTTTCAGTGGAATCTTAAAATTTAACTATAGCTACTGCCTCAATTTCTCAACCACTCATTCTGTGTTCTCCAACTTTTGAACTCCTGATTCTTCTCCTGGGTCACCCAAACCTTCAATGTCAAGCCCCACAGACCTTCTTCACATTGGAGCTCTGACTTGGCCTACCAGGAATAGCTAGCTCTCCATTAGTGTACTGTCACACACTCTCTAGGTCTACCTTTCTTGTCTAACTGGCTTCTCCCATGTCTCAGTTTTGCCTTTTTACCTATTTCACAAACTAGTACAGGAAAGAAAAAAAGAAGACTCTTAGAGTCCAGTAATCATTACAAGTTCAATCACTCCCAGCAAGGAAAAACAAAGGAGACACAAAAATCAATCACCTCTCTAACCTTCCACAATTGTTTTTTATAAAAAATGTGTTTTATTTTGTTTAAAGAACATCCTTTTTGCTAGGCGGTGGTGGTACGCGCCTTTAATCCCAACACTAGGGAGACAAGAGGCAGGTGGATCTCTAAGTTCAAGTCTACAGAGTGATTTCTAGGACAGAAACCCTGTCTTGAAAAAAATAAAACAAGCCGGATGGGCAGTGGTGGTGTACGCCTTTAATCTCAGCACTCAGGAGGCAGAGGCAGGTGGATCTCTGTGAGTTTGAGGTCAGCCTGGTCTACAAGATATGGTTCAAGGACAGCTAGGGAAAAACCTTTCGGGAAAAACTAAAAACAAAACAAAACAACAAAAACCAGGTCAACCTTTAGGGGTAGGTTCTTTCCTTTCACACTCAATAGGGATCATCATTCCAGCTTTCTCAGCAAGCAGTTTCAGCTGCTGAGCCTCATCCCTACCCACCTATTTAAACTAGCCTGAACCTCCTGCCTCCATTTCCCAAGTACTCCATTTCCCAATACAGGTGTGAGCCACCACCTCACACAGTTTACTCCCCCCATTCTTCAGTTGAGAAAGCATTATAAATCAACACCAGAAATCTGATATAATAGCAGTGACATTTTACTCAATGTTTATGTATTGCACTACCTTCATCATTACACATATTCCCTACGAAGTGGGCAAACTACTATCCTCATTGATTTTGCAGAGAAGAAACCGAGTCACAATAAAATTAAGCAATTTACCTGGGGGTGTTCTTTCTTTTTTTTTTTTTTTTAAAAAAAAGGTTCTGTGCATACAAAACATAGGTACACACGGCACACACGGGGAGATGTGTGTGGAAGTCAGAAGACCCCCCTCCTCCTGTTCTGTTGACCTGAGAACTGAACTCAGGTCATCAGGCTTTGTGCAGTTCACCCAGTAGATCAACAGGTCTCACTGCCCCTCCTTTTCCTTTTCTTGTTTTTTTTTTTTTAAAGAAAAGGACAAAACATAAATGAAACATTTTTATTTGTCGGGTATAAACTCAAGCCTAACCCTGAGACCTGTGTGCTGAACTGTTTAGCCCAAGTGTCTTCTTAAGAACTAGAATGAACCCACTAATAATCTATGTACTGATAAAGATAAACATTTGGGCTGAAGAGATGGTTAATGCTCAGTGGTTAAGAGCATTGCCTGCTCTTCTAAAGGTCCTGAGTTCAATTCCCAGCAACCACATGGTGGCTTACAACCATGTGTAATGAGGTCTGGTGCCCTCTTCTGGCCTTCAGGCAAACACACAGACAGAACATTGTATACCTAATAAATAAATATTTTTTAAAAAAGATAAACATCTACGAATGGATGAAGGGTCAATTAAAACAGGCTAGGCTGTGTGACTGATTAGCAGTTATAGAACTGACATTCCAGTCAGGTATTTTCACTTCATTTCTAGTTTTCTGTCCTTAGCAAGGTCAGTCTCTCACCGAGATCCATTACCATACCAAACCTAACTGTAGAGAAACATGATGGCAGGCAGGGAAGCTAATGTTCTTTCTATTTTCCCCAGCTCCCAGTCTTACTACTAGCCATCCCAAGCTGGCCTTGAAGTTGTAGTGACCATCCTCCTGCTGGGTCAGTTTATACATATTTCTGATACAAAGATTAAAACAAAGGGTTCTATGGATGTAGATCAGTTGGTAAAGTGCTCGCCTAGCATGAAGCCCTAAGCAATCTATCTCCAGGACCACATTTGTGCCTAAGGGCACAGGCTTACAAACCAGAATTAGGGGGTTCAAGGTCATCCTCCAACTTCAAAGAGAGTTTTAGGCCAGCCTGGGAATATATGCTGAGTGTCAAATCCACAGCACAGAGAACTCCCAACTTAGACCAATCCTTGTATTAGTTCCACATGTATGAGCCAGGGCCTTGTCACTGGCAAAGTTGCCAGAGACAATAGTCTCTACCTCAGGGAATACACAGGGAAGTTAAACACTCTTACGGAGCCACATTTTCAACCCAGAGAAAACACTTTTTTTGAGGCTCAGTTCTTATTACACTCAAAAGTACAAAAACCCAAGAGGGGTTGAGGACACAGTCAAGTGTTCCACAAGCCTGAGTTCATTCTCCAGCACTCATGTTAAAAAAACAAAACAAAACAAAAAAAAAAAACAGGCAAAGTAGCATGTAGAAACTGAGCTCTGGGGAGGCAGAAAACATGTAGATCCTGACATGCTTACCAGACGCCAATCTAGCCTACCACTCTGAGGATCCAAGCCCCAGTCCAAGGCTATCAAAATCAAGGTAGGAGCAGGTGGGAAGATACACGCCTTTAATCCTAGCATGGAAAAGGCAGAGGAAGAGGTAAACTAAATGAGGTCAGTCTAATCTACATAGTGAGACTCTGTCTCAAAATGAAAACATGTTTGAGGGGCTGGAGAGACCCAGTGGGGTTAAGAATGTGTACTGCTCTTGCAGAGGGCCTTGATTTGAGTTCCCATTCCCAATAGCTCACAATTACCTGGTAACTCCAGCTCCTGGAGATCAAATGCCCTCTTCCTGACTCAGTTGACATACGCACACACCTACACATAAATCAAAAAGTACTCCTACTTTATAAACAAAGTTGTTTGTTTATACAATCCTTTCCACTTCTTTACGGGCCATCGATGGCTGCTTTCCTGATGCAAAAACATGGGGATCTGATTGGCTTCAATAAATAAAGAACACAAACCCACAAAACCCAGTGTGTTACTACCTGGCCCTTCATAAATTTGACCCACAGATGACATTTTACTTAGAGAAAAGGGGATTAAGATATTTCTTTTCTGAGTAGGAAAATTACTAATTCTTGAGAAATGTGATTTGGTACAAAATGAATACATTTCCAGAAGGTCCTTAAAACATGGTAAAGGTTTCTTTTGAAAGACTAAACCATAGCTTGGTAACAAACCAGATGCACTTCTTGGAAGATGGTGGTGTCACTTGCTCAGATAGCCAAGTGTGGAAGAGATGATGAATAACAACAAAATCTAGCTTCTCTTTGCTTTGCCATGCCTATGCAGGCTATCAGAAAGCAAGTACAGGAAATGAAAAGGAATCTAGTTGAAGAATGGTGCCATTTATTGGCATACAGACTTCTTATAGTCATACACACATTGAACACACCCACTGAAAATAGAAGGGTCCCAGAACCACCCCCTAATTTTCCTTGCAAAGGATATCAAACACTTGAAAAGGGGTGAGACACAACAAGTGGAAGTGTATGGCAGGGCTGCACCATCAATTTAGTCATCACCATATGCCCTCACTTCTGCAGTGTCAGCAAACTTGGGCCCTCTGCAAGAGCAGTAAGTACTCTAAGCCACAGAACTACCAGCTCTCCAGCCCCATTTTGGTTTTGATGTTAGTTAGCATCTTATGTAGTTCAGGCTGGCCTGTTCTCATGCTCCTCCAGCCCCATCTCCTTACAGTGAGTGTTAGTGTTGGTTACGGGTATGCACACTGCACAAACAACCTTTTGCACTGGCTATTATTACTTTCTTTTAATCTTATAATACTGAAAATTATTCTGTACAGGAGAATGTGAGCTGATCCACTTTGAATGTTAAATACACTTGATTTCTCTGAACTACAACAGGTGATACTGTACACAAGTCAAGGCAAACTATGTTCAGGAAGCAAATGATCTAATGCTAGTCTAAAATTACTAATGCACCAGACCCAGAGGACATGTCCAATCTTTGGTCACTGTCATGAACAAATGTGTTAGGTCATGTTCATAGATATACTATATGGTCCATGGACTTCACCTGTAAGAGATTCATTCAATTCAAAAGAGTTGCGTTTGAAGGCAAGGTTAGCATGGAACCTGATTTGACAAGGTAAACCAAGGCCTATTTGGAAAAGGCTGAGAACATAAGAAAGTGACTGAAAGGAGTGCAGTGACAAGAATGCCCTGTTGAAAACCAAGCTAAAACTGTCCTGTATTTCCACCAAAACATGGCCAAATGCAGATGACCCAGAACTATCAGAGCAGAGCTAAGCAGTTCAGGATGCAGTCTTGAAGATACGAAGTCTAGCCAGCAATGTCTGTTAAGTGAGGAGAGGCTGAGCTACTCATCTACATTCAACGTTCTCTTTCTGCACATAGGATGATGACCTGAAAGTCAGGAAGGTACACAGACTAGTCAGTCCGTCCTGGTACATTTCCTGGTAGTTCAGTTCCCTTAGCAACGATCACTTCCAGTTTGATGATAAGTAAACTAAGGAGACTAAAAACAACCTCTAGCCACTACGATCTAATCAAGAAAGTTACAAGAAAGAGCTGGGAACACTCCAGGTCTAGCACTCAAAAGATGTCTCCTCTACCCAATGTGTATAAACCAAAGAGGTTTTCTCACAGCTTGCTTTTGGTGCCTGATAAAAGGCATTTAATAAGCACACCTTTCACTGCCTGCCTTCTCTCATGGTTGTTCTCCTCCAACACCTAGAATGAAACCTCTTTCCTCCATTTCATACCTCTGAAGCCAGAACTTGAACAACCTGATTAAGTGAGGCATTCTCTACCAGGCTTAATGGTAATGGTTCTAAAG